GTTCTCCTCATATGTAGAAGTCTTTTGGCTGCGTCTGAACGCGGTCATACACAAAATTGCGTCAAAGTGCAAGAAAAAATTATTTTGTTTTGCATTCAGACGCAGTTATCTTGAGATACGCGCTTGAACGCAATAAAATTGATTTTAAACCGCGTCTACGTGCGATTTGCGAAGTAAATTGCGTCGGAACGCGTTTATCCTGCGTCTGGTGTTTACATGGGTCGTTCATCTTATTGTTATATCTTTCGGATCTGTGAATGGAATGTTCTCCAAACAAAGTCAATACTCAACTGGTGTCAATTCAAATTCAATGATGGTTGCTGTGAATGATCTTATAATAATGAATTAAATTTAGATATTGCAGTTGCAAATTATGGTACTCATACGATTGGAATCTTTTATGGCTTTGATAATGGATCTTTCGAAGATCAAATTGAACTCTCAACAGGTATTTCACGACCAATATCAATTCATTTAGTTGATTTAAATAAGGATACATTTATTGATATTATTATTATTAATTATGGGACAAATAGTTTTAGTGTTTTTTATGGAAATGAAATATTCATAAAACCAACATTCTATACGATTAATTCTGTATCACCATATTCGATCAATGTTGGTGATTTCAATCAAGATACACGATTGGATATTGCTGTAGCTCTTTCTGGTTCTAATCAAGTTTGATTATTACTTGGAAATGGACAAGGATCATTGAATCGACAAGCAATTTATGGAAACTCTTTGATGTCTTCTCCATTCATTGTCTCCGCTGGTGATTTTAATAATGATGAACAATCAGAAATTGTTGTTGGATACGATGATAGTAATAGTGTTGATATGTTTATTACATACAATACGGAATCTTTCAGAGATCTCAAGAAATACTCGGTTGACTTAAATTCAGCTTTTGCCGCCTTGGGCTATTTTAATAACGATAGTTATATTGATATAGCTTATGATATAAGTATTCTTCTTGGATATATTAATGGGAATTTTGCAGATGCCATAATATATTCAATTGGCTTTCGTCCAATTTGCATAGCAGTTGGTGATTTTAATAACGATAATCGATTAGATTTAGCTGTTAGTTATGTTGGAGATCCCAAACTCGATATTCTATTAGGATATGGGAATGGCAGTTTTGTACATCTAATGACATATGCAATTGACGCGGTTTCATTCGGTATAGCTGTCGATAATATTAATAATGATACACATTTAGATATAGTTGTTTTTAATACTTCAAGTAACAATACAAATGTGTTCTTAGGATATGGTAATGGTTCATCTTCATCTCCTTATTCTGTAGCTGTTGAATATTTTAATAATGATCATTATCTCGATATCATTGTTGTTAATTATAATAATAACAAAGTTGGAGTTTTTCTTGGGCACGGTGATGGAATATTTGATGTTATTGTGCTCTATTCAATTTCATATGTGTCTCATCTATCTTCTCTTGTAGTCGCTGATTTTAGTCATGATGGAAAGATGGATTTTGCTGTGATGAATAATGGTACTGACAGTTTAAGTATTTACTTACAGACTTGTTAATTGTATTTTTTGTATATCATTTATTTACTTAAAGGCGTTCGTTAAAACTGTATTTAGTTATTAAAGAATAGTTTCTTTCGGAATACAATTGATTATAAAAAGCAAAAGAAAATATTTCTGATTTGTAATATCGTGTTTTCATCATCGCCACAGATGTCAACAGTTTTGTCAAAATTGCTTTGATATAATTTACAAAAAATTGACTTGAAATTTTAGGTTTCTTGACTCTGATTACTTTTTAGTCAAAATTTTTAGGAAGAAAACCTGCTTTATTTCCTTTGATGTATCAACCAATAAGTGAAGTGATATTTATTGAAATAGATTATGACTCGAATGAAGTTTTATTAAATGTTCCAAGATTTGTATTGAAAATGATTGACGTATTTGGGTCAATGGAATTTTCTTGATCATAAGAATATGAAATAAAAGGACCTGTACTTGATGCTAAATCAATAAATAGAAATTTCTGCTAAAATTCAATACAATTTACCTTGAACTCCAATTGTACATGTTGAACCTCGATCCGATACTTGAAAATATTTTACTTGAACAATATTTGNGTTTTATTAAATGTTCCAAGATTTGTATTGAAAATGATTGACGTATTTGGGTCAATGGAATTTTCTTGATCATAAGAATATGAAATAAAAGGACCTGTACTTGATGCTAAATCAATAAATAGAAATTTCTGCTAAAATTCAATACAATTTACCTTGAACTCCAATTGTACATGTTGAACCTCGATCCGATACTTGAAAATATTTTACTTGAACAATATTTGACGAATTTTCAAAAAATAAAACTTGAAAATGATAATATTCTCTTGGTAATTGATAATGACTCATATAAAATTCAAATGTTAATAATCGATTTGGATTATTTCCATCGGATTGATAATAAATACCTTGAGATGTATTCGAATAGATATACAAATCGTCCCAATATGGAAATATCGTTACACCTGGAAAAACATTCGAAGGTAAATTCGTTTCCGTATATATTGTTGAACACGCATCCAAACAAAGAACCTATTCGAAAACAAACAAAAGCATTGGAAGAAGATTCTCTTCGTCTTACTCCATCCGTTGTAACGATAACTATGTTTGTTGTTCTGTTATAAATAGTAATAGGCCATGGAAGTGTCACATTAAACATTTGATCATCAGCTGAACCATTTACAGATGAGGAAAATATAGTTTTACTATTATTTAATAAAATTCCAGGTACATCAACACATATTCCAGCTGAACAACTCATATTCAATGAACATTTATTATTGATTTGACCACAATTATTCGAATCAATTAAAATATTCACACAAGTTTTTGTTAAATTATTATAAACATTTGGATAAATACACGTTACTTAAACAAAAATAAATATTTCAAAAATCGAACTGAATTGTTAGATTGTTCGAAGAATAAATGAGAAATATTAACTGTCTAATGTAAATTTCAATATTAATGAAGATTCAATTAGTTCTTCGAAAACAAATTATAAGTTCTTTTAATTTAAGACATTTTGGTTATAATCGCAGTACTCATCTTTAACACACAGATTGAATTAACTTTCTATCAAGAACCTTCCCATGTTATTGGAATTTATCTATGTCTACGTCTGACGGAGAATCAAAATCGCAGAGTATATTCAACTAAAACTTTAATATCTCTCTCAAAAATTCATTTCAATATTTTTACTTTGTGGTGTTGCCGTTGTTATTGATGATGATGATGTTGTTGAATTATCTTTACGAAAGAAAGAGAAATTGTTGCTTAAAATGAGAAATGAAAAAGACAAACTTATGGTAATTGATGTTTTGTGTTTGAGAAGATAAATTGGAAGAAGAATGGCTAAAAGAATTAATCCGATAAGTAATAAGAGAAGAAATAATAAACAACATCGATATCTATGAAAGAAAAAGAAGATTTGTTTTGAGAAAAGAGAAAAATTCAGTTTTTGATTACTTTAATCGATTTTTTGAATTTTTTGCTGATTGAACATCAACTAATCTTGGAACTAATTCTTCAATTCCAGATGATGATTTCACTTTCATCCAAATCTTTTCGTTTTCATTTGCTGGAGTATCCATTCTTTCATCAAATAAACATTCGAAACAAATCAAAATCAAAACATTCGCATTGTTTCTCAATCTGTCACCTATATTGGCCGATAATTTATTCCATTTTTTTAATTTAAATCATATTATTTTTATCTGCTCTTTTTCTCGACTGAAAAATCTGACGCATTCTTTTACTCATCGAAATGTCAATAAAACGAAAACTATTTCGACAATCTTTATAAAGGTTAATGGACAATTTCATCTTATCAGTGGGAAATTCAATATAAATATATATATGAACGATCAAATGTTTTCTCGCATATCAATTCGTGATTGAAAAGAAATCGAATGAAGTTTCATTATTTGTTGATCGTCAGTGTTTTCTTAGTCGAATTCAATCAAGTAAATACAAATTGAATCGAGATTTTAATTGGATCAATTTGTTTTAGGCATCAAAATGGGAACAATGTCATTTACCTCCTGGACGATCGTGTACAAGTTTGACACCAACTTCAACAAAATTAGAAGGTTTAGGTGTTTATTATGAAGAACCTTGTCATGGAGCAGGATGTGGATTTTTCAAACCATATTGTCGTCTTTGTTGGATCGATCCTAATGCACCTGGAAAAATGGATCGACCACCATGTCCACCATGTGTTTCGGAACATTTCAAAGAAAAACAATCAGCAAATTCTCAATGTCATTTACCTAGTGAACGATCGTGTACAAGTTTGACACCAACTTCAACAAAATTAGAAGGTTTAGGTGTTTATTATGAAGAACCTTGCCATGGAGCAGGATGTGGATTTTTTCGACCATATTGTCGTCTTTGTTGGATCGATCCAAAAGCACCTGGAAAAATGGATCGACCACCATGTCCACCATGTGTTGCACAGATTTTAAATGAAAATTAACAAAACTATTTGCAGTTTCATTTTCTTGAAATAAAAGAGATTTTTTCAAGGATATTCCAAAATTTATTTTATACAAGAATAACTTCTCTTGTTCAGAAAAAAAAAGAAAAAAAAGCTACGAATCTTATTGATTTAAAACAGTTTGAACACATGGAGGACATTTTGGTCGATCCATTTTCCCACGTGCCTCAGGATCGATCCAACAAAGACGACAATATGGTTTGAGAAATCCACATCCAACTCCGTAACATGGTTCCTCATAATAAACTCCCAAACCTTCAGCTTTTGTTTCTAATGGAGTATCACTTGTACACGATCGTCCAATAGGTAATTCACATTGAGGATCGTTTGTAGAAGATGATATTACGCTCATTGTTGTTGTTGTTGAGGGTTTTATATTGACTTTGGATGAAGAATAATAACGTTTGAATACAATAATTGATAATAGAATGACAAGAAAGAAAATGATTAACATTAATAACCAAATAAGACGTTTTGATTTGAAATAAATTAATGAAAATATATTTGGATGAAATTTAGAAGATTCTTCCTTTTCTATGTATGGTTTTATTACATGATTTTCAATTGTAACTTCTGTGTGATTTGTTGGAGGTATTTCGTCTTCTTCATCTTCTAAATATTTTTTCACAATAAGAGGGAAGGATTTATTTTCATTGCTGTTGCTATTCGAATAATGGTTTGTAGATGAACGTGAGATTTGATTTTTTTGAAGTTCTACATAAAAGACAAAATCAAAGTTTTTCTTGACAAATATTCGTTTGAACAAACTTTTCAAACTTTTCACAGCTTGATAACATTTTATTCTTTGAAAAGCATCGATTAAATAGGAAAAGTCTTCTTCGGAGATTTTTCCTCGATCCACAAGTTGTTGAATACTATCTAAAGCTCCTCCAATGGTTGGATCATCACAAATACGACGTTCAATATCATCATGTAACAAAAATGAAAGTTTTTTTCGTTCAACTGAACTTAAATGATCCAAAACTTCGATTATAACTTGACGAAAATGAATTTTTGATTCTTCCATCTAAAACAAAACGAATTTTATAAATCATCATTTGTAAAGTGATCGATGATCAAATGTTTTTATTGTTCTTATCATCCAATAAACAATAAACTTTACTTATCTTTCACCTTTACATTATCTTACGTCATTTATTGAAATGAGGGAAATTCTCAATTTTCCCAAATGTTATTCAATAGAAATTGTAATCAGCAAGTAAAGAAAGAAATCATGTGTCATAGCGTTGTCTTTGTTCCAAAGAACTATCTCTCTTTCTATTCTCATATAATGAGATCAGATATCGAACGATGGGATGATCCCATAATCCTCGGAAATTTCTCATGTCATCAACAAAATTGATTATGAGAAATGTTTTCTTCAATGATTTATTTTATAATTAATCTTTTTTAAAAAAGATATAATCTTTTGGAAGTTTTCCTTGAATAGTAATCAAATTGAGTTTCATTGTCTGAAAAGAAACTTTTGAAATGAAAGTTTTGGATAAATCATCAGTCCATGATAAAACATAAAGAATTTTATTTTGATAATCAACTGAGAATGGTTTAAAACCTTGAGAAATTCTTTGACCAGTCGGTGTAATGGTGACATTTTGAATTTGTTTTCCAGTTTTTTCATTGATTTGAATAGCAACTAATGGTGTTACAATATTATATTGCCACAAAGCAAGAAATGTTGGATCAGATTGAATATAAGATAACGAATAAACATTGAAATCAAATTTTTTCGATTGAATAAATCTTTGTTTAGGATTCTTTGATAAATCTAATGTGATTAAACGAGTTTGACTAAGATTTGAATCATAAACATGATAAATTAAATATTGTTTTTTCGAATTAAAATAATAACCAGACATTGGTCTACCATATTCACTTATTTCTAATAATTCATTTTCAATTTCTAATGTTTCACTATTGATTTCAACTAAGAAATATTTTTCAATTGATGTTTTTTCAATAATTGAAAATAATTTTTGAGATTTTTCATTGAATTGAATGAAATGAATCATAAATGATTGAATTTGATTTGTTTGTGAAGTTTGATTTTGACGAAGATTATATTTGAAATATTTTGAAATTCCGTATAAACCTTGTTGCATTGTAAAATAAATCATTTGATTCTGATGATCATATGTATATGCATCAATTTTCACATTTAACGATCGAACGTATTTCGACGGATAATTTGTCACTTCAAATTTACTTACAATTTCACCTCGAGTTGCATTATTTTCATTCCATGTTGTTACAGAATAATCATTAATTGTTAATCATGTCGAATTTATTGAATTTATCAATAAACACAAAATCAAGATCGAAAACATTTCTTTAGGTTTTTTCAAATCATCTTTATTTCTTATTTATATCAATATTAATATTCCATTATCATCCTTAGAACGTATGTGAAAATAATCACAGCTGTTCCTTTTTTTCTACTCGATGGTCTCTCTTGATCGCCTTTCATGATAAACGTACTTAGAAGACAATGAATTTTATATGGCATTTTCAATATTAGTTACAGAACCATTTGGTAATTGTTTCTTTGTAACATAAATACCCATAAATAAACGAGCCGATTAAGGTGGGTGTGGGCGGGTGAGGGTGTGGATGTTGGGCAGGGCGCAGCTGGCAGCGTCGTAGTCAGGGTCTATTTGAACAGGTTTCGTTATGGTTAGTTGGCTGGTAATTCATAGTTTTATTGTGAATAAATGATTAAGTAGCATTCATTATTGAGATGCCTATTACTTGATAGCCCGTTGATTGTTAATAAGTAATCGGTTGGTTAATATTTAATCAACAGTTACATAATAGTTAATATTGAGTCACTCCAGGATTTACGATCAATCACTTGCTAGTTGCTAAGGGGAAAACTCGAAGAAGATGTTTAATAATCGAATCGAGTTTACGATTTCTACACTACTCTGATACTCGAATTTGCATCAAATTTATTGCCAAGTGAAGATATCACTAATAAAACTCTTATGTCGTATATTCATCTGATAACAAATTATATGTAAAGAATAGTCGTATAAAAAAGAAAGAGAGGAAGAAGCTTTTCTGCAGATGTGTAGCTGCATCGAATATACGTTGAAGATTTGAGTGTAGACGTGAAAGTGAGAGTACCATATTGGCGTATCAATCTTATTCTCATTTTCACTCATACTCACACTCTTAAAATATTCAGGTATTGATAATAATCCTATTTTCTCCTCACGAATCAAATAAAATTTTCCGGATACGTTAGGATTCTAGCGAAAAGACTGCCAAAGTTTTCGTCTTCAAATGAGGGTCAGTATCGTAGTTCAAGTATTTCAAATACTTCTTATCTGAACTGATGCTCGTATCTCTCCCTTTGTACTCATCTACTTACAAACTTACCACCTTACATATGAGACATGTTAAGCTTTTATCACAACTTCAGAATTAATTATTCATATCGACTTTGCTGTAGATTATGAGTGTCATGCAATTATAAAAATTACATCGACATATTTAGCAAGCTTTCGGCATCGATAAGTCAAATGGCATATAAGAACACCACAGACTCTGTAACTGGTGAAGCAGTTCTAGTCGCATCTTGTCATATATACCCGGCTCATACTACGGATACTCCTTCCTGTGGAAAAATACTCAATCGTGAACGTATTAATCTTGAATCATATCAGCTGATATGGTTAGATTCAAATACGCATAGCGTCATTAATAATGATACTGCTGTTACACTTACAAACTTGAGAAAAATTGTTGACTATACAAAACTTTATAATGAGAAAGAAGAGTGCATTCAATACATCAAGCAAACATCGAATACGACAACATTTTTAGTTTGCTCTGGTTCCTTAGGAGAACAAACTATACCAATAGTACATTCAATGAACAATATATGGACAATTTATATATTTTGCCAAAACAAAGATTACCATGAAAAGTGGGCTACCAACTATTCGAAGGTAATTAGAACGATTTAGTCAAAACGCATTAATCTACGGCGCAACTTTGAGAAAAAATCATCGCAGGATTTTAAGGATAAGCAGTATATTGCAAATCGAACGTTGACGAGAGGTTTCTCTACTTAATATTTGTAGAACTTTGAGTGTCAGTTTTGTATGATTCAGATGAGGCGTGGTATAAAGATATTGAGAGTGAGAATACGGTTGTACTCTTGTAAATATAGTTTCATCCAGGCTTATACTTGTATTCATACTCTCAAATTGGTTCGGCAGTGATGATGCTATATGCTTTTTCCATAAATATTAGTTAGAAACAATTTTTAAAAGAGAAATAAATACGATGCGATAGGAAGTGATTTCATTCCATTCAGTGAGGACGGGCAAGTCATATCGACCAGCGTTACTTATTGAAAAAAGAGGTTAACAGTAATATTTTTATAGATGTTATGAGAAAAAGGAAAATAATTTTTTTAAACTCTAGATCAAAAGAGTTTATACAAAGCTTGTGGATTTATTAAATGATCTAAAAAGCGACGTTCAGAAATACATACAAAATGAGAATGATATTAGTTTTATTGGAGCTGGAAGAGAAGATAACACGACAATAAAGCTACACAATGACTGGTGGCCATATTTCGTAGATTTTCTTTGTTATTTACCCTATCCAGCCAATTATCAAAACCATCTTATTGATTTATTAAAACAGTACTATGCAGGAAAAAAAGTTGAAATCGAAATATTAAAGGATTTTGCAGAAAATTACACTCCAAAGAAAGCGATCTGGTGGTATACTTGTGAAACGTTTCTCTATCGACTCGTTAATCAAGCTCTCAGACAAAGAAATATCAAAATTGTGTTTTTATTTGGATTCTTCTTACGAGATATATATACAGAGCTGCAGCAACAATACCAGGTGTTGAAATCTAAATGTTCAAAACAGAGCTTGAAGCTTTATCGTGGACAAATAATGTCTGTTGTTGAGTTAGAAAACCTACTTAAATGTTGTAAAAATGCTGATACATACCGCATCATAATCACGAGCTTTTTTTCAACATCTTTGAAACGTTTTGTATCGCTTTCAAAGATTCCACAGGAAGTAGAATTCGATAAGTTTGTACGAGTTCTTTTTGAAATAACAATTGATGTCGCACAACCAAATGGAACTAATCCTAATGGTCGTTATCCCTTCCTTGGATCGACTATCCGTCCATTCGGAGATATTTCAACTGTCAGTCGTTTTCCAGAGGAATCTGAGATCTTGTTTATGCCGGGATCTGGCTTTCAACTGAATAAGTCTGGTTTGGTATTCAGTGAATCTGAAAATCTATGGATCATTCAATTAGAACCTGTAGACGATCACTTCCATGCGGCACAAGAGTATTTCATAAGTAGCAATGCAAGAAGAACTTTGCAAAACTGTATTACAGCCATACCATTTGAATTACAACTTCAAAATCTATCGCTTGACCAGATTAACATGATTTTCGATCATTTAATTTTTGTATATCCAATGGAAAAATGAATTTTAGCGGTCAAAGAGCGATTTCTAGCCTTCAAAATGCTAGGGACACGACCAAGGGAAACATCTACGCAGAAAACAGAGCGAGAATCATTAGCTTTATCTAAATATGAGAAAGCATTGAAAATTTGGTCTCATTATACAAGTGATACTGACTTAAACAGTTTTGTTGCTATTGGCAGTCTTTACCAAGCACTAGCTAGATTTCGTGGACTAGCGTCTACAGCAGTGAATATGCAGAAGCATTATGACCTAGCCATTACTAATTTTCAACTAGCATTGGACAAAGCTCTAACTGATCATGAGTCAATTCACATATTATACTTGTTGTTTAGCATATATCGTTCATTAATGCTTAGTAAAGGCAAAGAAGAGATAAAGCAGTATGGCCCTCAATGCAGATACTATGCAGAATTAAGTCTTAATAAAATGGTCAAAGTTTATCTAGAAAATGATATGAGAACTGCACAACTGTTTGAAGAGCTTGGTACGATATGCAGTTTCCATCTTGGTGATCACGATGCAGCATTAGCTTACAACAAAGAAGCATTAGCGATCAAGTTACGAAATCCAAATCAAAGTCCGTGGATGCTCTATACAAATATATCTTCTCATTACTTCAGTCGAAAAAATTATCCTGAAGCACTGAGATTCCAACTGTTAAATCACGAAGATATATTGAATCGATTTGCATTAAAAGCAACTGATAATGATGCTACTCGACGAGAAAAAAGATATATGATTGCCCGAAGTTATATGACAGTAGGAGATTATTATACTCCATTGGATCGGCAATTATCCCTCNGATGATGATTTCATTTTCATCCAAATCTTTTCGTTTTCATTTGCTGGAGTATCCATTCTTTCATCAAATAAACATTCGAAACAAATCAAAATCAAAACATTCACATTGTTTCTCAATCTGTCACCTATTGAGCGACAATTTATTCCATTTTTTATTCAAATCATATTTATTAGTTTTATCTTCTTTTTCTCGATGGAAAAATCTGACGCATTTTTTTAATCATCGAAATGTCAATAAAACGAAAACTATTTCGACAATCTTTACAAAGGTTAATAGAAAATTTGATC